AATTTGGTTTCCTCCACTGCAGCTTTCCTTTCTTCAGTTTCACTGGCTAATGTACTTGGGCTCAGTGGCCTGTCATTTTCCCCTCTCGGCTTTCCTTGGGCTCTGTTGTTGTCTGTTAGGGCCTCCACATAAAGTTTAGCTCTTTCATTTACTACAGTCGCCTCTGATAGAGCCTCTCCATGCAGTTGTGCTCCTTCTTTCCCTACTGTCCCCTTATTTGTGGCTGAGGTAGCAGTCTCTGTTGTCAATCCCAAAATGTTCTTTAGTTTTTTAGGCTGTTTCAGATTTTTCAGTTCCTCTTCTAAACTCTGTATCCTAGCCTCTGCTGCTTTGACATGCACCTCCCACTTCCTGCTTTCCATATCTACCCTCTCTTCCATTCTCATGCTAAGTTCTTCTAGTTTCTTTTCCCATTTACGATCCCTTTTTATGAGCTCTTCTGCCCAATCTTCCTTTGCAGCTTCCTCCTCCTGTCCCTTGGTTTTTCTTGTTGCTCTTTGGCAACCCATTTTTGTTTTATCCTGATTGCCTCAGAGTGGGAAACCTATGTAGTTCTGTATGTTATGTTAGTAGTGTGTATGTCAGAGTATGGGGGGGAGGTAGTGGAGGAACTGTGGCTATGTGGGAGAGGAGTGGGGAGGGGGGAGGGTGAACGAGTGTGCGTGTGTGTGTGTGTGTGTGTAATTTTGCGTGTGTAATTTGTGTGAAATTATGTGTGGGTTTATTATGTACTGAAAGGTAGGTGGCTTGTGCGTTGTAATGTAAGTCTCAGTGGTCCTTGGCTGCCCACAACTTCTTGTGACCTGACCCCCAACCTCCTGGGACTTGACCCGCACGTACTTTTGTGTGTGTGTGTGTGTGTGTGTGTGTGTTGTGTGTGTGTGTGTTGTGGTGTGTGTGTGTGTGTGTGTGTGTGTCGTGTGTGTGTGTATTCGCCTAGTTAGTTACCATTTTGTCCTAGTACAGGTGTGTGTGGTGTGTGTGTGTGTGTGTGTGTATGAGGGGGAGATACTGTTAATACATACCCGTAATTTGGGTTATAAAAAGTGGAAATTGCTACTAGGGTCTAAAGCTTCTATGACTGTCTGCCCTTGTGTGTGTGTGGGGTGTGTGTGTGTGTGTGTGTGTGTGTGTGTGTGTGTGTGTGTGTGTGATTATGTGTCGAATTATGTGTGGGTTTATTATGTGTGTGAAAAGTAGGTGGCTTGTGCTTGGAGTGTAATGTGGATTCTCAGTGGTCGCTTGTGTCCACAACCTCTTGTGACCTGACTCCCACCCTCCTGGGACTTACGCTCACCTACTTACAATGTTGCTTATGCCTGACCTGCCACCTAGCCTTGTTCAGTGGATTACCAATTGCTATTCCTTATTGAATACTTGAGTGCCTATTCTTTATCGTGCTATGAGAGTTGGACCATTCACATTCAGCTTGGCGGTTAATTGGAACCTGGAACCCCACACCCAAACAACCACTCATAGGTGGATACAGTACTTGTAGTGCAGCTGTAGCAGCCTGTAGATTGTCCAGCTCGATGTGACGTCCTGGCGTAGATCCAGCTCGATGTACGTCCTGGCGTAGATCCCCCTCAGTTTCTTCTCGTTAATGATGTACCCTATTCACTGTATTTCTCTCACTGGTCACACGATTGTTTCACTTTATTATCTTTCTTGGGTGACACTTGACAACGTCGCCTTACCACCCACACTAGCCTGCCCACTCTGCGCCACGACGTTTTTATTTTCTAGATCACTTACAAAATTGTGGCTCTCCCCACACTTATGTGGCTCAGGCAGATTAAAATCACTTCTAGGATTGTTCACTACCCTGACACACTTAGCAACCCTTGCAGAACACTTGGGTAGCCCTCAAAAACACTTACATTCCCGGAGCACGGAAGGCGTGACTCGCGCGCTCGCTGTCCCTGTGTACTCACCTAGTTGTGGTTGTGGGGGTCGAGTCACAGCTCCTGGCCCCACCTCTTCAACTGGCTGCTACCCGGTCACACTTCCTGCTCCGTGAGTTTTTATCATACCTCTTCTTGAAGCTATGTATGGAACCTGCCTCCACTACAGCACTACCCAAGCTATTCCACTTCCTGACAACTGTGACTGAAGAAATACTTCCTAACATCCCTGTGGTTCATCCGAGTCTTCAGCTTCCAAATGTGACCCCTTGTTGCTGTGTCCCATCTTTGGAACATCCTGTCTCTGCCCACCTTGTCTATACCTCTCGGTATTTTATATGCCGTTATCATATTCCCCCCTTAACATTTTCTCGTAGGACATACCCCTTAGCTCCAGGACTAGTCTTGTTAACTTCTGCACTTTCTCTAGTTTCCTTACATTCTTGGCTAGGTGTGGGTTCCAAACTGGTGCTGCGTACTCCAATATGGGCCTAACGATTCCTTATTAGGATGTCAGAATGCTGTTCTTAGGTTTGCTAGGCGCCTGTATGCTGCATCAGTTATTTTGTTGATGTGTGCCTCAGGGGATGTGCTTAGTGTTATACTTACCCCAGGATCCTTTTCCTTGAGTGAGGTTTGTAGTCTCTGGCCCCCTAGACTGTACTCCATCTGTGTTCTTTGCCCTTCCCCAATCTTCATGACTTTGCACTTGGCAGGGTTTAACTCCAGGAGCCAGTTGCTGGACCTGACCTGCAGCCTGTCCAGATCACTTTGTTTTTTGTGTGAGTTTGTGTTTGTTTTAGGAGTTAGTGGAGGCAAGTAGATTTTATGACTTGAAGTGCTGTTGGTGTGAACAAGGCCACATTTATGAATGGATTCAGGGAAACAGATTTACCAGATTAGAGCCCTGAAGGTGGGAAGTACAACACTTGCACTGTTTTCTTTTGGTCACCCAAATACGAAAACTTTCATCATTCATTCAATCACTCGCTACTTTGTTATAAGTGTGCTGACCTCAGAGTTCAGATTACCTTCCAACTGCAGCATCTCCACCCCATCCTTCAGAGTGCAGGCACTGCTCTTTCTGTCTCCAGGAATAATGTCCTGCTAATGGGTTTTCCCCGAATACTTTGTTAATCAGCTCACACTTTTATAGCACATCCATTAAAACCCACTTGTCTCCATTTTTCTAACACGTCTCCTGGATGCCCAAGCCCTCCAGCTATTCCTGGGATGACCCCCTACCCCTCCTACCTTTCACCCTAGATTTATACAATCTCTTTGTTATCCTATTTCTTCTGAAATGGAGATTTTTTATTCTGAACCTAGAGATGCCAAAAGTATGACATTTGATTGCAAGTTTAGAGAATTACTCAGGCACATAACCGTCTCCCACTGAGGCAGGGTGACCCAAAAAGAAGGAAAATCCCAAAAAGAAAATACTTTCATCATCATTCAACACTTTCACCTCACTCACACATAATCACTGTTTTTGCAGAGGTGCTCAGAACACAACAGTTTAGAAGCATATACGTATAAAGATACACAACATATCCCTCCAAACTCCTAATATCCCTAACCCCTCCTTTAGAGTGCAGGCATTGTACTTCCCATTTCCAGGACTCGAGTCCGGCTATATAAAAATAACCGGTTTCCCTGAATCCCTTCACTAAATATTACCCTGCTCACACTCCAACAGATCGTCAGGTCCCAAATACCATTCGTCTCCATTCACTCATATCGAACACGCGCATGCGCGCCTGCTGGAAGTCCAAGCCCCTCGCCCACAAAACCTCCCTTACCCCTTCCTTCCAACCTTTTTGAGGACCACCCCTACCCCGCCTTCCTTCCCCTACAGGTTTATACGCTCTCCATGTCATTCTACTTTGATCCATTCTCTCTAAATGACCAAACCACCTCAACAACCCCTCTTCAGCCCTCTGACTATTACTTTTATTAACTCCACACCTTCTCCTAATTTCCACACTCCGAATTTTCTGCATAATATTTACACCACACTTTGCCCTTAGACAGGACATCTCCACTGCCTCCAGCCGCCTCCTCGCTGCTGCATTCACAACCCAAGCTTCACACCCATATAAGAGTGTTGGTATTACTATACTTTCATACATTCCCTTCTTTGCCTCCATAGATAACGTTTTTTGTCTGCAATTCCATTGCTCCACTCAACCAAATTCTTAGCTTCTTTGCTAGTTTGCCTTATGTTCTGTTGATTGAATACAAGAAACTGCCCATTCAACTATTACAGCTACCCTATAAAGTGCACAGAAGTCAGTTATTTGGCAAGTTTTACACAGTTAAAAAAATTACAAATAAAAAAGTCCAAAATAAATAATGTACAAATTCCAGGCACTAAAACGTTTCCTCTGTTCATTACTCTCATCCCCATGCCTCTCCTGTATAACACTTGTCTTCCATTTTCAATTCATCATCACAAAAAATAGAAGTTACTTGATTTCTTGGATCAAAAAATATAACCAGAATGATTGGCCATGGTTTTGGTGTCCAAGCAATTGAATTGCACCTATTAAATACCCATTAAACAAAGTGGGGGGGAGGGGTGTAGGGAGGCCTTACCTCTCCTCTAAAAAATCGCCAAAAAGCGAATATTTCTGCTGCTACTTTGAGTCCAGTTTCAAGCTATTTCTGGTCTGGAAATCAACCAAAATCATATCTGTTTCAGTAGTATGTTTTCCATTCTATCAGATATCAAGAGACAGATAATTTAACCATAAAAAACCATCTAAGAAAAACACTTCGATGTCAGTTTAAAACCCAACACAAGGTCAGTTTTTTTTTTTTTTCATGCACCATGTGAGACAGGAATTATTTAATGTGCATGTTTGCTGTACAGACCCATTCTCTGGTATCTAGGTCAAAATTTACATCTTGCAGCTTAGGAACTGAGCTCATGATGTAGATCCCTGTGAGGGACCTTGGCATCAATAATGTAGATCTGTGTGATAGTTACTCATAAAGGTTAATGGATGTTGAGTAAGATTTTTGGAGTGAATTTTATGATATAAATTTATCACTTTTTTTTTTTGTGACGTTAATTATAAATTTATTTTTCAGATGTACCGACTAACGATCCGTGCCAGTAAAGAATCCACGGCACAGATTTTGGCGGATTTGTTAGCGGAACAATTTTAACCCCAAGAGACCATTTTCGTGATAGCTCATAAATAACATCTTTTGAAAAACTGAAAAAAAATAAACTAAGATTGGAACCATTGTGGAAAAAATCACTAATGCTACTGAAGGAGTATGTGACTTAAAATGCAGCAACAATGAAACACCATCCAATTCCCATTATGGTAAAATGCTGTCAATTCTAAATTATAAGTGGAATATTTGTTGAAATGTCTATAGTAGTGCTGAGAAAAGGTGAATGAATGTCATCTTGAATGAATATTCTCGGTGTACCAGAAAAATGACTGTCTTTGTTTCATCCGATGTTCTTCAATGTTGCTTTGAGTCATTTTTGTTATTGTGTTAGTTTTATTTGACAGTAATCGTGCAGTCTTACCAGGGCTCTTAACTCAGTTTCTAATTAATGAAAAGATTTTTTTTTTTTTTTTTTGCATTTAAATCAGATGCTACTGCTATTGAATGCATTTTCCTTTGGAATCATTAGCTTCAATATCTAGTAGTAAATTGTTTAAAAGTCCTGTCACTTAGTGTGTGGTGTGTCCATGGCTGTATTAAGGTTACTGGTCAATCAATAGAGGGCAGGACTTCAGTTAGCAATAGGATCAAGAGGCCAGCATGAGGATATTTGTGAAGCCCAGTCATGGTTTTTTAAAAGATGTGTATAGCTATTAGGAGTGAAACAGGTGTGTATACTGTATGCATGTGCGTATGTATGTAGGGGGCTTGAAGTGGGTGTGACCGGGTGCCGCTGTCCTTTTGTATGCTTTTGAATCCTAGTGTATCGCAATGAATGCAATTTATTAGTTATTATTGAATATTAAAAAAATCGCACTTAAATGTGCAGATCTGATTTTGTATCAGTTGACAGTACCTTAGAAATTATTTATTGCATTAGGTTATCTAATTTCTACTTCCCAGGATGCAATCCCAAGTTACATTGGTCTTGTAGCAAGTATTAATTTTATTGATAACAGTCATGCACATTACTTGAGCTTGTCAGTGAAGGACTTACCATTGCTTGATATCAACATTGCTGGTAGATCTTACAAGGATTTGGGTTAAACTTTGCGGCTGCAGAATTTTTGTGACTTTTGTTGGTCAGTTCCAGCATCCTGTTCATAGTTGTAAAGAAATCTGTGTATGAGTAGCTCCATTCATTCCTGATGTGTGGATTCATTAATGTAAATTAATTGGAGATGCATGAAAGTTGGTACAGAGATCATTATTGTATAGAATTTATCCTAAAGTAAGTTATTAATGTAGACTTCATAACAGATTGTAATTATGACATATTTTGGTTCTTATTGTGCATTATTGGGCAGCAAAGACATGTATTATATATACTGGTCAGAGGTGTAGACAGTAGTTAAGCAGTTTCGTGGGCCTTGAATCAAGTGAAGTACATCTCCATTTCATGTAAATGTCACTTTTATATTTTCTCAGCTGTGGGGGCTTTCTCAGCAGTAGGGACTTAGCAGTCTTCAACTTCAACTTTTGAAATTGCTTAGTGTTATCATACTTCAAAATAAAGAAGCTTTTTGCAAATTATATAACCAAGTGATATGGATCTTGGGATTTTAGGAAAGCTTCAGATCAAGACCCTTCATAGTTAAGAGCTCTTGTTTTCCTGATGGTCATCATAGCTGTTTGTATTAGTCAAATTGACATGAGGAAAACTATCTGTGGTCATGAGGTGGCTAATCATAAAATCTCCAAATAGGATATTGTGCATACATCACTATTATTAGTAAACAAACATGTTGATCTGGTAAGGAAAAGTTTTCAATCCAGTCTGTTAGTAATATTTGGATCATTATCAATCTTAACCTCTATCCTGGTTAAAGTTATTTGTACTGTTAGGCTGCTCTGCTTGACATGCAAAAACATTTTTGTACCGTTAATATCAGTTGGCACTTTCCCCATTAGAATAAGATAGAAATCCTCTTGTGATATGCCTGGTATCTTGGTTTTGTAAATGCTGCCGAGGGTTCAGATAAGCTCTTATAAAGCTCATGACAGCTGCACTTGAATCAGTTTCAAGATAATAAGAATGATAGTAAAAAGCATTTTAAATTTGGTAATTAAATCTTGTTACACAAGAAACTAAAGTTAAAAGCATTTTTCAAAGTTTAATTGATTTCAACTTAGAGTATCTAAAAAGTTTACATGTAAATAAATTATTCACATATCTTTATTTATTAATAAACATGCATTTATCCAAGGTAATTTTATGTATCAGAGGACTTGTGAGGCTGGTAGCAAAGTTATTTTTTGTACTGGTGACACTTTGTAGGTTAATAAAACAAATAGAATCCTGTCTGTAAATAGGAAGATCTATAAGTTAACCATTTGTTTCACAAAAAAAAAGTTGATAAACATTATAATGTAGCAAAACTTGACAATATTGGAATTTAAATTATAAATTTGCCTAGAATAGGAAAGTTTTATTTTATAATGATCCAGAACTCTCAAGATGTTCTTTCATGCTTAAATTACTTGCTCTTTCTGATTGTGAGTTGCAAGTAAAGAAAAAATCTAAACACATTCACAGCCTTGGATAATATGTTCATAGTCATCTGAAAAATTTTCAGGTTAGTGTGTTTTTATATTTATATATAAAATACACACATTCACACATGCATGCATACACACATTCACACACACATATACACATTTACACACATGCATACACATTCACACACATGCATACATATACGCATTCACACACGCATACATATACGCATTCACACATGCATACATATATGCATTCACACACGCATACATATACACGTGCATATGTATACACACACACACATATATATATATACATGTACACATTCACACATGCATGAACATCCACAAATTCATGCATGTGCACATATTCGCGCACATTTACGTACATACGTGTGTGTAATGGAAAAAACCTGTAAATTTTGTATCACATAAGTTAGAATTCTATTTGTAAAGAGCCGTGACTAACTTTATTTATTGTGTGTAAAGTTTCTTATTTTTACATTACGAGAATTATTATAAGGGAATATGAGGATGATAATTTGTTGCATTTGTAGTTCATTGTCAAGCACTGGACAGACAGTTAAGTTAACAGCACTTTTTAATAAACTTTTATATTTCTCTTGTACTGTTTAGCACCAGCCTAGTCATCTGATTTCCACCTTTTAGCTGCATGTCTGCATCTTGTCAGGGCGTGTTGCCCAGTAGGGTTTTATAACACTTTTTTCTTAGACATTCCATTCAGACATGTAGCATTGAATTTATTTGCTTTATCATGTAGATTATTGCTTTTTGGGTTATTACAAGCTTGTAAATGCAGCATTTTCGGCATTGGTATATTTATGAAAAACGGCTGTTATCTTGCGTGTCTCTTCAGTTATGATGCTGAACTGTTGGTAGTAACATCTGCAAAAGTTAATGCTAAAGCACATTTCCCTTGAGCATGGGTAAAGTCCCTTGCATAAGAACAAGTCACATGTAATCTCAGAAGTGGTTGATGAATTGTTACTAAAGTTGTTAAAAGTCTGTTGTATGGTATATTGTAGAGTAGGTGTGAAACAGTGGCCTGCATTACTCATATAGAATATGGTCTGCCTTGTAACATTGTGGAATGGCCAGTGATAGTTGATTGTGTAATCTGCAACCAAGTGGAACTGCCTGCACAAACCTGTTAAAGAATTTTATTTCATGGGGTAAAAATAGGCTTAATTGATGATGTGTTCTGGGGATGGTAAGGAAGTAAATGTTGATACTGTAAATGGTATACTGTACTTGTTATTTTAAGGTATTAAGAATGCTCTTTTGGCTTCAAGAGAAGGTGCGGCGATATTGAGACCATAGTTCTATTAACTGAACCTCCCAGAATGTTAACAATTTGGCCCTGGTTGATATGAAATAACTCAAAGAAAATGGTTTTGGAGAAAACCAGGGAAACAATTTTGTAGTACGTATTTATTTTATATAAAATATTAGGCTATTCTGCAGAAAAAATATTATTCATCACTAATTTATTGGTAGAATATTGATATTTCCTTACTGAAAATAATTGTTTATGTAATGGATGAATAATCATATTTATCAAAGGTTTTATTTGTATATATGCAGTATGATACATTGTATGCATACTGCCTATACAAAATTTTAATGTACATTAGTGTATATGAAAAGACTTGCTAAATCATAACATCACAAAAAAAAAAAAACTGGATAGTATCTGAACCCATTACTAGCTAGTTGTAAAATTTGAAGGAGAGGACTCTAGCCACTATACCATGCTGACCTAATGAGATTCACCTGACTAAAAATGTTTCTGTACACTAGGGAAGTTAGGCTGGCATGGTGGTGTGGTTAGAGCACTTGCCTGCTAGTTTTATGACAGCTTGCCATGTGCTCAAATCCTGTTTGTTCCTCTAGTGATACGTGATGTGCATTATTCTAATAATTCATGCGACCTTATATCCATTAGCAGCATTACCATTTTGCACCAAAATGAGAGAATTTTCCTTCATACCTTGGGCGAATCTGTGTTTTGAAGGTGAGGAAGGCCTAGTATTACTGATGTAAACAGTCTGTCCCTCTCCCCCCTCTATTCATGCAGTTAGTGTCTGAACATGTACAATAAGATTGTTTTCATTCAGTGGACCATTTTCATTGCCCTGTCACATTTCTAGTTATTAGTCTAGGCATCCAATAGGAGTACTGTGATAAGAAAGTTAAGTGAGAAACTACGCCTTTTACAAAAAAATGAGTTAATGACATGGTAAGAGGGTGGTGCATGGGTCAGTATTAGAGAATCAACATTTCACATAAATTCACAATGAGGCAATAATGAGAGCTTGTGCAATGAGTAATATTAAATAAGAACTATTAATTTTTGGGCTTTTCGGAGGTTTGAAGAATGAAGACCTATTCTTCTCATGTTCACTCCTTAAGTAGTGATATTCATTGATAGTGCCGGTTTCAGGAATGTAGTCTGTGCAAATTATGGAAGTTTACTGTATTAGAATGCAAAATTGAAGGACTTTTCTTTTTACAGCTAAGTTTTGATATACAAAATGTTTCCCTGGGGTTTCTTTCATAGCCTGATGTGTTCCATATTGAAATTATTGTATGTAAGTGAATGGTAAATAAATGTGTATATTGCAGTGTGTTGTCAAATTCCTTTTGTTGTACAAGATTTTGACTATAATTCCAGTTGGTAATGAATTTAGTAATGTCAAATTTATATATCCTTACACATCACATAGGGCCCTTCGACTTTCACTGACACCATTCTGTGAGGATTGTCAGGTCGCACTGTCTGTCCAACATCAATTAATAGATTGTCATACCTGTCAGTGCATTCAGGATCCACTTCAGACCCTCTTCAAGGGGGAACTCCTTGACAAGGTAAAGAGGCTTTTGACCTGAAGAATTTGATCTTTCGGTCTTCCTCTTACTGAACCTAATTATCTCCCAATCCTTCCCTACCCCATCCCTCCTTTCCCATTCCTCCTTTCCCCATCCCTTCCCTCTTGGTCCTTTCCTGCTTTTGTCCTCTGGGGTCTTTTCCTCTGAAATTCTAGCTCCTAGGTTAGGTAGAGGTGGTGGTGTTCATCCCATTCCTCTCTTCAAGGGGGGCTCCTTGGGTGGGGGAAAGGGCTCTTGGCCCGGGAATTAGCCCTGTCGGTTTTTTCCCTCGGACCAAAACCTTTTTTCCCCCCATTCTCCCCCCCCTTTATCCCCCCTTTCCCCACCCCTCCCTTTTGCCCTTCCCCCTTTTTGGGCCCTTTGGGGGTTTTTCCCCCACAGGCGCGCTATTTCCTGGGTTTGGGGAAAGGACAGGGGGGGTCCATCCCATTCCGTTGAGGTTTTTTTTTGGGCCCGGGGGCGAAAGTTTCCCGTGGAATCTGGATTGCCTGGGGATGTCCCGACCCCTTTCTCTGGTATCCCGGAGTAGTTTTGGGGTTTGTTTTTGGGGGTTTAAAGGGTGTATCTCTGGAAGCCCCCCTTTTCGGTTTCCCGGGGGTGGTGGCCGAAGGAGGTTTGCTTTGTGGGGGATTTTCGGCCCCCCTCTCTTTTGTCCCCCGGAGGTAGTCGGCAGATGTGCGTTGTTTTCCCGGATTGTGGTTTACTGGCTTAAAGGGTAGGGTTTTATGGCAGGGGTTTTCCATGCTGCATCTGCGTACAAAGCGGTGCTAAAGGCCCTCTTGGGCGCGGAGGGAGTTTCCCCGGCCCTTTCATTCCCCCGGGGAAACTATTCCCCCCCCCCGCCCCCCCCCTTTTTTTATTCTTTTTTTTTTTTTTATTTTCTTTTCTTTTTTTTTTTTTTCTTAAAAACAAAAAAAAAAGGAGTAACCAAACCAGGCGCCCTAGTCCATAAAACCCACTACCCCCGGGCCCCTTTTTTGATACTCACCCCATTTCGGGCCCCTGCCTTGTGTTTAGACCACTTTGGGGAAACCCCTGATCCCCCTGAAACCCTCTTGCTGGTGCGGTTTCCTCCCCCGCTTTCGGGTTCCCGGGGTTTCGCCTGACTCCTTCGATTTTCTGAACTCCGCTCCCCTTTTGGATTTGGTTTCCGGCTTCTCCCTCTACGGTACGGCAATTTTCAAAATCCCCCCCCATTTCCCCCGGGGGCCCAAAACCCGGTCCTACCCCTAAACCCCCAACGTAAATTCCCCTGATGATGCTCCGTCGTTCCTTTTTCCCATTCTACTGGGGAAACGACCGACACGTCAAACCCACCCCCTCTCCACGCCCCAGTTTCGGGACCACAAATGGACTAAATTTTTTACTTTAAGACCAACTTCTTCTTTCCCCTCCTTTTAAACCTTTTGTTTGCCAAAGCCCCTCCTGCGTCATGTTGGCGGGAGATATTTCTTTTCACGCTCCAAGAGCGGTACGCCCCATGGGCCTTTTTCCAGAATGCTCCCCAAGCTCATGATCTTTCTCCCCTTTCCCGAATATGAATATTTTCTATCATTTTGGGAAAAAAATCTTTTTAATTTTTTGAAAGTGGTACGTCATTCGGGCCCCATACCTTTATTTCCCAACGGGAATTTTCCCAGTTTTTGTGGCAATGACTTTTTTTGAACGTAAAACCCCAGGATCTCCCAATCCCAAAGTAGCCCAATTATGTCCTTCCTCCCCGGGGGGCGGGACTTTTCCCTTTTGCAATGTGGTCGTTTAACTTTTGAAGCCGAGAACTCCCGCCCTCTTGTATATTGGCGGGGACTTTCGGTTAAAAAGGTCGAAAGGTGAGCCTAACCGCAACAATTTTAAAAATTTTGGCGGGGTTTTTTTGGTAAACCCAGGGGAAAAATTGCAGGACTATGGCCGTTCCCCCCGTCTGTGGTGCCGCCGACCTTTCAAATACATTTCCCAGTAAAACCCTCCATTTGCCTTAATTGTAATGAAGCCACTTCTTTACCCCCGCCTTTTGCCAGGTCAAATTTAAAAATAAGTGAAATCCTTTTTGGCCTAAAAAGAGGCAGAAGGTTTCTCCCTTTTGTTTAGGGGCGTTATATCTCCGCCCCCAAGGGGATTTACCCGTTTTTTCTTATTCTCGTTTTTCCCAAAAAGTCCCCCCACTTCTGGGGTCCCATCTTCTGCAGCCCCCTTGTTGTTCCCCCCCCCCATAGCCCTACGGCATTTTTCCTTTTGCGGTCCTTGGCTTGGGGCCCCGATTTAAACTCAGTCTGTTCTCACATCTTCGCGTCCTTCCCAAAGCCCCAGTATCGACAAGCCCCTCGTCGAAAACCTTTAATCCCAATCCCCCCCTCTACTCAGAAGCCCCAAAAACCCAACATTGCCAAATCTTTTTTTGCCCCTTTTTTCCCCCTTCTTCCCCCCACCTTTCCCTTTTTCCAGTCTCTGTACCAGTTCCCCCCCCTCTCTCTGGCTCTATTACAAGTTTTGGGGGATTTCACCCCCCTCCTCGTACTATGCCTTCCACCCCCGTCCCCTCCCAAATTTTCCCTCCCTTTCTTTTCCCCTCCCAGGTTTCTCCCTTTTCTGTCCCCCCCCACATTCATCCCCAAAGTCCCTTCCCACTTTTCCCCCCCCCTTACTTTGGAAACATTTCCATTACTTTTCCCATACCCCTTTTACTCCCCCTTCCTCCCCCCTATCTCCAATATTGGTTTTCCCCAAAATACTTCTTTGAATTCAGAAACCCTTAAAGCCATTTCAGAATTATTGCAGGGGACAAAACCTTAAATGGACAGATTCACTTCCTTTTCCTTTTCTCTTCCCTCTCCCCCCTTTCAAAAACCCCATTTTTTCCCGCAAGCTCCGTTCCTTCGTACTTAAAATCTTCCAATCCCACCACCCCTTTTGACTTTTCAAACCCCCCTTTTGTCCGTGGGGGCCTTTCCCTACCAGTTTTCCTGATATTTTTTCATCGCCAATAAAGGGCCTTATTTAAGTGGAATATCCACGGCCCTCGGGGGTTAATGGGGGTTTTGAGTTCAGAGGGTTGCTTTCCGGGTTTTTCCCCCTGTTGGTGTTTGGGCTTACAAAAACCCAAAATTCATGGCTGTTTTCCAACCTAATCTCGGGTTTTATAATTTATTGTATTCTTCGGATCCTTTCTCGAGGGGCCCTTTTAAAAAATTTCCCCTTTCCTTCTAACGCAATGATTTTCCCTTTACTGTCAACTATTTGTCCTTTCCCTCGCTGCATTACCCCCTGGGGCCCGTATCCACTTGAATAAGTGGTTTACAATAGGGTTCTTTAATCCCCTCTCCTTTCGGCTTTTTTCTACCCCAGATTTTTTGCCTTTTTTTTTTAAATCCTTCCCCACCCCCACTTCTGTTATTGGTGTTTTTTAATGCCCACCTTTTTCCTTTTGGGGGGGGGTTCTTTGGGAAACTCACGTGGCATTCAGTTGGGGGGCTTTTCTTGCCTCTCACCCCCTCCATTTTTTAAAATTTTGGGGGTATCCCCCCCTTTTTTTGATCCCGTACTCTTACTCTTCTTGCTCGATCTTTTCAGTTGCTCTTCCCCCATTTGACTAGACTTCACCTGTTCTTTCCCCCCCAGACTTACATGACAGCGATCTTTTTCCGTTCTTTTCTTACTTCTCCTTCCTATTCACCCCCTTTTTCCTAGCCCCGCTGGCAATTTGATCGGGAAATTGGGATCCCTTTCTCCCCACCTCACTGCTTTTAGTGGGGGTTCCTTCTTAAACCTCCAAATTTATGGAAACTCCCACAATCTTCTCGACATAGTTTATACCGCAGCTTCTCATTTTATAAACCCCCAAAACCCCAGGCAGGGGGATTTTTTTTTCTTTTTTTTTTCTCTTTTTCCCCTTTTTTCTTTTTTTTCTTTTTTTTTTTTTTTTGTTTTTTTTTTCTTTTTTTTTTTTTTTAAAATTTTTTTTTTTCCAGAAGGCGGTTGGGGGCTCGCTTTTCCGTTGTTTCTCCGGGGAACCCCCCCTGAAGCTTTTTTCAAAAAGGGGACCCCTTTGTTGGCAAAGACTTGTTTCCAATTTTTACCTACCCCTGCTTCTTTATGAGTGCGGGCTGGAAAAAAAAGTGAGGAAAATTTAGTGGTAAAAAACTCTCCCGACCCGGTCTGTTCTACGGGGGCACTGGTGTTGTTTTGGGAAACCTCCGCGGGTTTCCATTGGGCTTTGGCCCCACATCTGGTCCGTATTTCTGAGGGCTTTCCCTCTATGCCCCCCGTTTCCCTTTCCCCAAAATTTTGCCAGAGAGTTAGTACCCTTGGATTTTTTCTCTCGGAGAAGAACAGTTTTAATGGGCCTTTTACCAAATTCAAGAAATGGAGGCAAAGCCTCAGCTTGCCGATATCGGGAGCTGGGCCCGATGAATTTTATATTCGTATGTTACAAAAATTTCATCGGTCAGCCCCTTTTAGTCCTCTTACACCTCTTCAATCTTATTTGGGCACCCAAAGGAGTTTTTCCCCCCCCCGTGGAAATCTGCAAATTTTTCTCCCTTTCCGCAAAAAGGGTAATAAGGGCATGATGCCTCCCCCTTTTGCCCCCCTCGCTCTTACAAGTGCAGTTTTTCCCAAAATGATGGAAGCCTGTAAACGACGTTTAATGTGGGGTTTTTTAAGGACTCCCAAAAAGTCTCTCCCCCTAGTCAATATGGCTTTCGTAAAGGGGCGTTCTACCTTTGACCCCCTTTCTACG